CACATGATTTTGTTATAAATGGTCATCGACTGATGACTTTCGCGCCAGCCAGTATAATGTTAAGCTGCATACTGTATGAAATATCATACAGTATGCAGCTTAACATTATACTAAAGCACTTTATAGTAATAGTACATATGTAAATAGCTGAATCCGCTTATTATGACAATAGATAGGCTATTAGGAAATAGCAATGCCTTATATGTAGTGCACGGGACAGTGAAAGCGTTAATTAGATTAATTAACGCTTCATTGTAAAAAAGTTTTAAAAAAATGAATTTTTTTAAATTATAAACCTTCTTCATTGAAAGATACATACATACATATATATATATATATTAAATTACTTGGTTTTCGCTTATTTCTGTTGACTATAGTGGTAGGGCATGGTCTGCCGCAAATTTGTAGAAAGTGTAGGTACCGCTTTTTGAAGATATACTTCTTCCCCTTGATTTATTTTCAAAGCTACTTCCTGTCTCTGTAAATTATAAATTTCAATCTAATGTGTATTGAAGATTTACAATAGTAAAAAAAAGATACGAGCAAGCAAGTATTAGCCGGAGAGGACACCTGCATCTTGGTCAGAAAGAGTAAGGGCGTCTTCGCCGTCTCCTGATGGAAGTGGATAACCATAAAGTTGCAGAAATTCACGGCTACCGTGGCAGGTGTCACCTTTGTCTTGTTTCCTTACTTGCTCTGGGCAGTGTTTGTATTGAGCGAAATTTTCCTAAGCCTGAATACCCACGTTAAAGAAGAGTAGGGTAGCTACCCTAGGTGTTGCAAAAATCCACGGCTAGCGTGGCAGGTGTCGCCTTTGACTTGTTTCCTTGCTTGCAGTGTTAATGTTGAGCGGAATTTGCCTGAGCTTGAGTACCCACGTTAAGGAAGAGTAGAGTATCTTTGGCGTGAATGCTCAGTAAAGGATTCTCCATTACCAGGGTTGCTAGTACCCTCCTGGAGTAGTCCCTTTTTGATTTCGCCGCAGGCGAACACAGTAAGTAAACCTTCTTATTCACGCTGGTATTCTATAAGGTCGTGTTACGTCCCGGTTCAACAATCATGTAAGGGAAGCAGGGAGAATGGTGCTCATCGGGCAATACTGCTCACGCAAATAACTACTTGGATACAGTTTGTGCATAAAAACACCTCATGAGGTCTGAAGTGTTGGGCGTGTGACGCATGAGCAGGCAGTGACAAGTAACATCAGTCTGCAGCACGAAAAATTTATGTGCGTGTGTTTGTTTGCAACCACGTATAATCTATATATTTGCTGGATATTTTTTTTATAAAAAAAACTTTATCTCTGATACAAAACGATAGTTTGGGGTTATGCCGTTCAAGTGTATGCCATTACCCCTTGATGATGGTTTTACATATTTTTCAACAAATATATCTAAAATCTTCAAAAGACCATCGCTATAACGGCTTGGAGTGAAGAAGACTACACTCTAAAACTGCAATTCACAACATTCTATTCACTACGTCAAGGGATAGACAAAACAAAAAGCTAATTAGCAGTCCACAACTAGGTTAAAAGCAGGTCGATGAGAAAACGAAAGGAAAGTGTCACAAATTCATCACAAAAACTGATGATAAAGAAAATAAAAATCTTTGCAACTGTAATTGCTCGTATAAGGGAGCGTCGATAAAATAGAGCGGGTTTGCTGGCGGGATGTTAACTGGAGAGCATACAGTAGCAGTTAGATGAGCAATAAATAACACTTCTTGAGAGTTTCTTCTTATTTTATTTCTTGATTCCTTATTATTACATTGCCGGATTTGGAATATTTTACCACGAAAAAACGCCCCTTTTTATAAGCGGCTGTAACCAATCATAATTAAGAAAAAATCACACACGGCATTAGTGAATCTATTGACCAATCAGAGCACAGAATAACCCTTTCTAAGAGAGATTTACAATTTCCTTAATAAACGTGGTAAAACATACCTTACAACATTTATATTTATTCCTAACGATAGATACAACTTATTTCTATTATTTTAAACCTAAATTATTCAATAAACCTTTATTTTACACTTATAAAAAATAAAAATAACTTCGCGGTCGCTTCACAGTTTAGCTCCGGAGTAGGATAGTATTTTTTGCCGAACATACAAGTAGCGCCGCCAAGAGGTAGGAATGTACAACACACTTTTTCAGGAATAATACTTAGAATCTATACAATATTTTTTCATAAAATTTAAATCTTTCTCATAATGAAATGACATTATATAGTGATTAATTGACATATTAATGTTTCTTTTGAATTACTTAAAAGGAAAAAGAATTATATTAATCACCTATATGTTAATAGCTCTTAAAGTTATGATAAAAGAAATCTTACTAGAAAATAAGCTTATACTTGCGTCTAATGTTCTAATCAGAGAGATTCATATAAGTTACTTTAAGATAGGAATAGAAGTGTTTAATTTACTTTCCTGTTTTCAGCACTAATCAGTCTTTACACTTAGCTTTATTTTACGAATAGGAAACAATTAAGATTAAATACTATCACTTAGTTTTACATAACTAATAAGGAATAATTAAGATTAAATGTTCGAATTCACTTTGTCGTCGCTAACAGCAACAGTGATGATGAAATAGACGTGGATGAAGAAAGCTATAACTAATGCAATCTATATTATGTTGTGCAACGCAAGGTATGTTTTTTTGTTAGGTTTTCTACTGATTATTTATGAATGATATGTTCCTTCTGTGTAAGAATTTCGATTACTAATTGGTTAAACCTTTGCCTGTTTTCGTATTTTTAAAATAAATTTTTATTTTTAGAAAATAAAGTGCTTTTTGCTTACGTGAACAGCATTCGTCCTGCTTCCCCTATTTGAGTCATTTCGTTGCGACAAGCACAAAAAGATAGTTCAAAATAAAAACAAAATCTTTAATATAAGCCTATTACGTAAGTGTTTACTGTGCAAGTTTTGTATTAAATACCTCGAGTAATAATTTAACTTCATTAAAATTTTACGAACATGTCGTGTCACCGTCTACGTACATACATTATAGTTGCATCATTTTCAATCAACGTTGCACGTTCATTTTCTAATCTTAAAGTTGACATCTATATTGGAATAGTGTATTTCAAACTTTTTTATCTATATCACAACAAATCTAAGAAATACTTTTGACAGCTGTGAGATATATTGGACTATGCAAGAGGTCCGAAATAGGCGCCTACAGTATTCGATTCTTATGGGGTATCAATATCGATTCTTTATGGCTGGTAACTGATTACAGTTTTATCCAGTTCAATACTATATACCTAATATAAATAAGAAGCGGATAACTTCAATCACGAAAGCTTTTTAAGCTGTACTGCTACTAGCGTGAATATTGTGTCCTATTTAAGACATTATAATCACTATGCTTTTTTTATTCTCAAGCAATGCTTAAACTTCCCCCTTGATGATAAGTAGAGAAACATCCGAAGATGGTAAAATGCACTACCCGTAGCTTGACAAAAGCCCTAAAAAAATCACACTTGTCTTGAAGACACCTATAATATGGATGGAAACACACGCTGGCAAATTATTCCCCTCCTTTGCTGTACAATAATATAATGACGGACGTAAGTAATCAGAGTTCAGTAAATAGCGCGAAAAAAAGTATTAGCTAAGTCACAAAATGAGATTAATCACACAAACAGAAGAGTGCGCACCTTCAGCTTTCAAGATGGCGAGAGTTTGCACGGTGCACATTGCAGGCTGGAGTTGAAATTATGATGTGTTTTGAGGGCGACCTTGGCATACGAATCTTTTATCGACGCATTATTAACGCATTCACGCTTACAAATCAGAAAATAAAATAAAAATGGCGGTGTTTTCTTAAGTTTTATTTATTATTAGCAATGCTACTCTATTCAGTTATAAAATGTGAAAGTCTCCAACATTATTCAATTTTTTTTTTAAAAAGCTGTTCTGTTATTTTAGTATTGTTACCGATTATTCGAATAAGTATGATGATGCATTTGGATTTTTTTTTTTATAAAATAAGGGTGACCCATAGACATCTACATTTATCCTCGATTGAGAATCAAAACGCAGATGCGTTGTCAACCCAGAGGACTAAGACGGAATGCCTCGTTTCCAGTAAAAAAGGGTCTCCGGATCTCTACACTCACCATACGAAACACAGCAGTATTAAGCTGCTATTTTACGCTGGTATTCTGAGAGAGGGTGGTCCTTTTTCGGTCGAGTCGACCCAAAACGTCGCACCCGTAACGTCGGGTATTAAAAATAAAATAAATTAACGCGATTCAATCCTTAGAAGTAGTTTTAATCAAGTTGTAAACTTTTATACTGCTGTCATGTCTATGGGGCTCTTAAGTCTATGCCTATGATATTGGAACAGACGGACAGATTGAAGTTAAACGGCTATAAAACACCGTGTGTCACTGTGGAACCCTAAAAGAAATTACTAAGTTAGTAAATAAGCAACGATTTGTACACACAATAACTTATGCAAAGTAATTGGCACTTACTTTGTGTAGGTTATTGTGAGAAATAATTTAACAAATATATTATACAAAGCGAAAAATCGACCCTCTGTGTTGGATATAATGTTTTCTGTTTTCTTTTACATGATAGGATTACATATAAATAAAAATAAAATAAAAAACATTATTACTGTATTTTGATATAATAACTGCAGGAATATTAATAAAACATTAATGTAGCTAATGAAAAAATAACAATAAATGTGGAAAATATTTAAATGTGAATGTGGAAACAATCTAAACATAAAACTGAAAGTTAAATATGAAAATTAAATCATTTACATATATATAATATATAAAAATAAATTACATCAAATAGTGCAAATAAAAGTTATACAGACGTATTCAAAAAGATGTAAATTTCAGTCGCCTAAACTAGGTAAAACTTGTATTTTAGGGGGTCAGTGTGTGGGGAAGGCACAAGGTTTATACAGACCAATACATAATAGGTAGTGCAGGAACATATATTGAAAAAAAGTATCTTACCTCAGTCTTCGTTATTCGATGTCGCGCTAATTTTACAACGGCAAAGTTACCTTTGCCAATAGTCCTTTCTATGTCATAAAAACCCACCCTTATAGGGGTTTTCGCAGGACGTTCACGATCCGCCATTGTTATTTTTGAAATCATCAATTTTGACATGGAATAATATTTAACACATCACCAAATGAAAGGTTTATATTAAAACGTAACACCTCTTCAGTTATTCAGTAGTAACACTTCTACATGCATACATTGTTACATACGCGGAAAAACATTACAGCTGCAACCTATCTTTGATTACACTTATCTATAGTTATTCGTCACAAACGTCTTTAGTTACATAGTTTCTGAATTTCACTTGATTTGGCTTATTTTTGATAGAACACAATGAAAGCACTATAATATTTTAATTTATTAACAATTGTATTAAAACCATTAGGTTCAGTGCTATAAAAACAATCAAAACATACTTAATAACCGTCTTTAATGCCCAGACATAAATGTACTAAGCATAATAATATTTTTCTGTATAAAACGTATTTACAAATGATAGAAAACGCGTAGAGGCGGCGTGCGCGTATAATAAATTAACGGCGTCATTTCACGCCGCCGCCTCACCGGCTGTCAACCGGGTACTGATTACTGAACTGAACTTGACTGAACTCGTAGCTCATAGTATGTCGATTTCTCGAGTCGAGAGAGCGGGACGCGAGCCATGTCGAATAATCGTTCCTTCGTACAGAATAGAGCACTCGTCTGCTCGTCTCTACCTGATACTGATACGACGTATGCTACGTAGCACGTAAAACGCGCGCGCGACTTCCGCGGCCATTTTGCTTCTGTTCGTGAAGTACCTAAGTACCTAAACAATAAACATCTCTCTGAATATATTATGTCGGGTGTTCTTATATAGCTATAACTCTGCAATATCTGTAATCTAAATATGTAAATATTTAAAGGTTTTTAAAACAAGTAAAACCTAATGTACCATTGGAACACAACTAATTTTACGGATTCTATTGCGTTTAATTTTAACTTTATTAATTCCCGACGTTTCGGGCACTTTCCAGTACCCATGGTCACGGAAGGGACTCAAGTGTTTGACGTGCTGATGTCATAGTTAACGAAGGCTAACTTGAACTTTAAAATATTAATTTTCATCCGATCTACGCAGAAAGAGCTTACAGTGTTTTAAAGTCTTGCAGTAGTACGATTGGGTTTGGATTTAATATTATTTATTATAAGATCACAGCACTTAAAATTGCAAATAACAATTTCATTGGTGCCGGCGGGGCCAATGAAATTGTTAATTGTAATTTTAAGTGCTGATTTACCACGTGCTCGGCGGTGAAGGAAAACATCGTAAGGAAACCTGCATGTCTGAGGAATAAGAAAAAAAATATTTTCGAAGACATGTGAAGTTTGCCAACACGCATTGGGGCAGCGCAGCAGACACTTCCTTGCCCTAAACCCTCTCAGATATGAGGGGAAGCCTGTGACCAGCAGTGGGACGTATATAGGCTGTAACTTAACATAACTTATAAGATCCCAAGCAGATTGTAGCACCCAGCCATCTTCTCTATTGAAATTAGGATGTTTTTTTTATTTCAATAGCCTCGCCAAGCATCCCTGGTAGGAATCGGTGTTCTTTTTCGAGAATTTGTGGTCCATCAAATCTGATATAATGGTTGGAACGATCCTGAACATGTTGACATACTGCACACTTCCCAGAGCGTCGGACTTGAATCCTCACATAAGAACACCAATTCCTACCAAAGATGATTCGTGAGGCTATTGAAATTAAAAAAAACATCCTAATTTCAATAGAGAAGATGGCTGGGTGCTACCATCTGCTTGGGATCCCATAATTAATAAAATGAAATCCAAACTCTAGCGTACTACTGACACTGTAAGCTCATTCTGCGTAGATCGGAGCAAAAATTAATATTTAAAAGTTGAGGGTAGCCTTTGTTAACTATGACATCGGGGCGTTAAACACCTCAGTCCCCCCGTGACCATGAGCGCTGGAAAGTGCCCGAAACGTTGGAAATATTAAAAGTTAAAATTAAATGCGATAGAATCCGTAAAATTAGTTTTATTCCATGTTTAATATTCGCGTAAATATAAACAATCATTATTTAATATACCAATTTAAAATACCAGTAATAAATCATGGATAAGAGATTCACCGTAGAGACGTGGTGACAATGATCACAACGAACATTTCTTAGATTTCAATTCTTGACAAAACTGAGTTACCAATTACCATAACCAATTCAAGACAATATATCTTTATATGGAGGGAGATAAAACGCCCAATCCCTACATCGTTAAAGAAATTCTTCAAGATTATTATAGTTCATCAGAATTATTTTAAATTTTCGCCAATATACCACATATTCAATAAAAAGATTTTATGATTTTATAGCATTTAATTTTAACTTAAAAAAAGCAATAAAAATCCGAGTAAAAGAATTTATTAACATATATTATATTGAAGCGTTTGCCGTGTAGTGGCGGTTAAGAATATCCACTACCCCATATCTTCCCGTGGGTGTCGTAAGAGGCGACAGAGGGAGACAGGCAGGAGATGAGCAGCAGCATCTTCCTGATAACAGCAACTGTACGACAAAAAAAAAAACTGCGGTTGCCAACCCGCTCGCCAAGCGTGGCAACTATGGCAATATACCCCCCCATGAACAATTACACAAATAGACGGCCCCCAGTCCCCGGCGGCCCCGCTATTCCTGGCTACGGTGGCGACCATGGTAACGGCGGGGCAGGGGGTGCTAAGAATCTCCGGTGGAGGTTCGGTTGCCACCTACGACGACTCGACCTGGCAACATTTAACGCACGCACACTGAGGACTGACGAGAAGATCCTGGAGCTGGAAGAAGAGATAGACAAGTTGCGCTGGAGTATTATAGGATTATCCGAGGTCCGAAGAGAGGGGGAGGACACGGTGATTCTCGAATCCGGCAACTTGTTCTATCACCGGGAGGGCGACCATCTGTCCCAAGGAGGTGTCGGATTTATCGTCCACAAGTCTCTCGTCAACAACGTTGTACAGATTGAGAGTGTGTCGACGAGGGTCGCGTACCTGATACTCAGAATCACCAAACGGTATTCGCTGAAGGTCATACAGGTTTACGCACCAACGTCGGCACATTCCGATGAGGAGGTGGAGGAAATGTATGAGGATATTTCCAAAGCCATACATTCCTCCAAAACCCACTACACGGTGTTGATGGGAGACTTCAACGCAAAACTAGGCACAAGAGAAAGCGGTGAGCTGAAGTTAGGGAAATTTGGAGTAGGGCAACGGAACCGAAGGGGCCAGCAGCTGGCCGACTTTATGGAGAAAGAGGGACTCTTTATGATGAACTCTTTCTTCCAGAAGCGGCCCCACAGGAAGTGGACCTGGTCGAGCCCCGACGGTTCGACAAAAAATGAGATTGACTTCATTATGACGACCAGACGCCAACTGTTCAGTGATGTCTCAGTGATCGCAAGGGTGAAAACTGGCAGCGATCACCGAATGGTTAGAGGCACACTGAACCTAAACGTTAAGTTGGAGAGGTCTCGTCTAATGAAGTCAACGCTCCGTTCCCCTCGTGCTCTGATCCAAAATCCCGAAAACTTTCAGCTCGAGTTACACAACCGCTTTCAGTGCCTACAGGATTGCAATGCAGTGGACGATATGAATGACAAGCTCGTGGAAACTGTCCATGCGGTCGGAGCTAAGTTCTGCAAGACCCGCCGCAGAAGAACACAAAAACTCTCCGATCACACTCTTAATCTCATGGCTGTTAGACGGGAGATGAGGCTGCAATCGTCAACAGATTTGACAGCATACAGGCAACTGAACAGACAGATCTCCAAATGCATGCGGCGAGACTTACGCAACTTTAATACTGCTCGTATTAAAGAAGCGATCGAGCGGAACCAGGGCTCCAAAGTCTTTGCCAGAGATCTATCTGCCAGAAAGAGCCAACTGTCAAGGCTGAAGACTGAGTGTGGCAGCATCGTTTCCGGGACACCTGAGATTTTGAGTGAGATTGAGAGGTTCTATGGGCAGCTGTACACATCATCGTTGGAGCCACACGCAAGTGTGAGTAACGATCCAAGGGCAAGTCTTATCCGACACTATTCCGATGATATCCCGGACGTCAGTCTAAGCGAGATTAGAATGGCTCTCCAGCACCTTAAAAACGGCAGGGCCCCAGGCGAGGATGGAATTACAGCGGAGCTTCTGAAAGCGGGTGGAACACCGGTACTTGAAGTCCTTCAGAAGCTCTTCAATTCCGTCCTCCATGGTGGCACTACTCCAGAGGCGTGGAGCAGAAGTGCGGTGGTCTTGTTCTTTAAGAAAGGCGACAACGCTCTCTTGAAGAACTACAGACCGATTTCCCTTCTGAGCCGCGTCTACGTGCTGTTTTCGAGAGTCATTACGAATCGTCTCGCACGCAGACTCGACGACTTCCAGCCTCCCGAACAAGCCGGTTTCCGAAAAGGCTTCAGTACCATAGACCACATACATACCCTGCGGCAGATTGTACAGAAGACTGAAGAGTACAATTTGCCACTTTGCCTGGCGTATGTGGACTATGAGAAAGCCTTTGATTCCGTCGAAATTTGGGCGGTGCTACAGTCCCTTCAGCGGTGCCAAGTTGACTGTCGGTATATTGAAGTGCTGAAGTGTTTGTACAGTAGGGCTACGATGGCTATCCGAGTACAGAACCAGAGCTCGAAACCTATCCAACTGCAGAGAGGTGTAAGACAGGGTGACGTTATATCCCCGAAACTCTTCACCGCTGCTTTGGAAGACGTTTTCAAGCTACTGGACTGGAAAGGATACGGTATTAACATCAATGGCGAGTACATCACTCACCTTCGATTTGCCGACGATATAGTCCTTATGGCAGAATCGCTGGAGGACTTAAGCACTATGCTCAATGACCTCAATAGTGCCTCCCAACGGATAGGTCTTAAGATGAACATGGACAAAACAAAGATTATGTTTAATGTCCATGTCACACCTATGCCGGTAGTTGTTGGGAGCACTATGCTCGAAGTTGTTGACGAGTACATTTACCTGGGACAAATAGTCCGACTAGGTAAGTCCAACT